GCAAAAGTGCTTCAAGCCAAGTAAATCACTGCTGCTCCCTGATAATAACCCAGCCATCGGATGCAGTGGATTATGCGAGATGCCATCAACATAATCCGTGATGCCACAACTGTAAAGCTGGAAGTGCTGTAGTCGTCTATAGAGATTTGTCTGCCAGGAGTCAATATGAATCTCATGTGTTAGTATTGGATGGGAAGGAATCATGGCTAAAGAGACCCAAAGTGCACTGATTCCAGGCCAGATTCTGTCAGGAGAACACTGGGGGAAATATCAACGGGTGGAAGATTGCAATATAAGTACTTGTTATAGATAAATGTTTTTCAGATTAAGTAAGCAAGGCTGATGCAGAACTTCATGTCTCTACAGGCCCCATCTAGTGATCTAGCTAATAATTTTATTTTTGGTCTATACTTCTGTTTCAGCTCTCTTTTTCTGCAGCTAAAGCAGAAGAACTCTATCAGGTCAGTAAAATGAAGGAAGTTCTAAGAAGAGGTCTTTGTTTCTGCAGTGGAAGTGCCTACTTCGACTGAGGTTGAATAAGAAGAAGCCAGGGTGTTAAATACATGTGAATACCTAGATATGCAACAAGCAATTTAGTTAAAAGGAGAAAAAAAGGGAGTGTGGAAGGAAAGCAGCACAGATCTGACCACTGTCCTTTGTTATTTCTAGGTTTTCATCCTGTTTGTGGAAAGAGTAATTTTCTGTTTGCTTTTATCTCACAGAAATATAAAAACCTATTTATCACCTAGGATCTGCCTTCTCAGCCTCACAGAGTCGTTACGACGAGTTAGCTGTGATACTAATGACTGAGCAGTAGGTGAGTGGCCTGTCTGCACAGCCTTCATTTTGAAATCAGGACACAAACCAGTCTGCACCAGTTGTCTGAGGAATCAGGGCCACCTCTGAGGCCACTCCATAAGATGGAGGAAGTACAGACATATCTTCAAGTGTCAAATTCACAACGGTTTGCACTGATAGATCTCTAAGCATAGATCCTTATCCTGCTCACACCTATAATGTTAGTCAAATATCGCACTTCACCATAGTTAATATGAAAATGAAATTATGCATGCGCCTCCATGCTTATAGGTTTAGGACCATACTGTGATCCTTTTCAAATATATAACTTAGCTGTTTGCTGGATTCAGTAGGTCTTGTGCTTCTTGCTGTAAATATATGGTACTCGTTTTCAGTTACTTGAGAACAAAATGTGCACAAATTCAAGCTTGTACAAGAACCCTACCATGCAGAAGTATGACAGTCAGTAATATAAGAAAGGTATAGAAATAACCTAATCCACTGGCAGACTGAAAAAAACTTTTCAGATATTCTTATAGATTTCTTTGGAAGCAGCTGTAATACTTCAGGGTTCCTCTAATCTTCCAACTATTACTTTGGGCTTCCCACACTTATTAAATTTTGGAATACCATGGCCTCTTCCACAGCAAATTTAATGTCATCTCAAATGTTATGGTGCTAGCTGAAGCAGGTAGTCACTTCTTTGGAATTTAGGCAGAATTTGAGAACCAGTTTGGTAAGTCTTCTTTTCTGACAAACTCCCTAATCTCTTCACTAAAACATATATATAATACAAAGCATGCAGACTGGTACTTTCCATCTGCAAGTCACTGCTAATGTCAAGAGCAGCATCCATACTGACTTTGACCATCCTTCTGAGATCCAGCAAAAGGACAGTTACCCAAAACTTTGGGGAGATGGTACTTCTCTGGACAGTGAAGATTCTCCAGAAGGCAGTATTACTAGTTCTACCAAGAGCATAATGCCAGCGATTTGCATTTGATTTATACGAAGGCTGCAGGTGTGGTAAGCCTGAGAATAGTTTACATTTAATAGAGTATCTGTAAATTTACAATTTATTCTTGTTATCTGAGTACTTACATTACTAGCAGTGATTAAAGCCAACCTCTGAACAAATTAGAATCTGTTCACAATTTCTACAAAATAGAACTAGGATCTAGCTGCCCTATCTTCTCTTTACACTTTTGTACATAACAAGGATACTTCTGTTTCTTTCAAACATGCTTTCCTTTTGATCTAGTAATTTCCCCCTAACTGCATAAATATTTGTGTGGGAACTGAATATTTTGTGAGTCACAGCCTGAACCTCTGATTGACCACCTGAGGCAAGCACTGAGTCAGCCAGGGGAGCACAGGTGAAGGCAATTCAGCTGTGTGACCAGAAGGGGTGGAGCCTGGCTGCATCTCTCCTAGACCCCATTTAAGGGCTGACTGCCACGGGGGAAGGGTCTCTTCTGGAGATCCCTTCTTTTGGAGTTTTCTACTGTGAGCATAGGATGCAGGTGAGTTTTTTTTTTTTTTTTTTTGATTGTCTTTTTCCACTGTGATAATCTTTCTAAGTATAAAACCTGTAAAATACTGTCCTAACCATGCCACTCTTCTAACTGCACATTTGTTAATTGTACAATATTCATGTTCTTTGCTACTACCAAGGAAAAGGCTAAGCTGTCTTGAAATGTGAAAATTTGTTTTGATCTACAAGGCGTTTCACTTAATTCTATTAACTTAGCTTTAAATGTTGTGAAAATTGAAGTTACCTAACCTTCTATTATCACAAAGACATCAAGATTTGTCTATTTTTCAGGGATATTCAAGTTAATGACCAGACATTTCCATACTCAATTACTTTAGACAGAAAATACTTTACTTACAGTTAGTGGAATGCATGGAGTAGTCATTCTATAAAGAAATTATTCTCTTGCTTTATTCAGATTTATGGCTGGAAAGATCATTTAAAACCAATTATGAAAATCTTTTCTCAGCAAAAAAAAATTAAGTCTTTATTAGGTTATTTAGCAAATACTTCTGGCCTAATATTTATCATTGTAGTTAATCCAGAGTATCAAAATCTATTTTAAGTGAATAGGTAGGTAAAATGATTGGTTTCTTTCCCTGCAAGAATGAATGGCAGCATTATCTAGAATCAGATTTCTAGTGTGAATGGTCAAAATCAGGAGCAAAAATATTCCACTAATATTCTCTAATATCAGCTATTTACTATTGCCAGGAACAGTCCACTAATATTTATCATCAGAACCTTCAAAGAAAGCAAATTATTCAGGGCTATACATCCAGATGGTAAAAATGAAATGTGGTTTTGAAGAAATGTGCAGGTAGATTTATTTTTCTAATACTTAGCTGAAACCAATATTTAACTGGTTGAGAGGCTGTTATCTGGTTTCAAACAAAATCAGGAGAGATTTAGATTAGATATGAGACATTCAAGGTCATACTGGACAGGGCTCCCAGCAACCTGATCTGGCTGCAGGCGTCTCTGTTCATTGCAGAAGAGTTGGAAGGGAGCCTTAAAGGCCATCTAGTCCAAGTCAAAAGCTTATGTGATTCTGTGGTTCTGTTTTGTTTACACCACTATATTTCATGTATTTCATATGACACAGTTTTCTGACTGTTGATGGAGAGACATGAGGGCAAGATTAGGGAGAGAAAGAGATGTGACAGATTGTAAAGGGAAAATATTAGAAAGACATAATTGGAGGAGAAGAAAAATAATTATGCAGGAGAAAAGTGAATGTATCTCACAAAACATGATGTGAGTGGATAACTTACTATTACAGTTCTGATATCTCATAGAATCACAAAATTGCTCAGGTTGGAAAAGATCTTAAAGATCAGAATCCAACCACAACCTAACCATACTACCCCTAACTCTAACAAACCACTGCCAAATCATGGCCCTGAGCACCACATCCAGACTGTTCTTAAATGCATCCAGGGATGGTGACTCAACCACCTCCCTGGGCAGCCTATTCCAGCGCTTAACAACCCTTTCTGCAAAGAAGTTTTTCCTGATATTCAATCTAAACTTACCCTGGTGCAACTTGAGGCCATTTTCCCCTTGTCCTGTCACCAGTGAGAAGAGACCAACCCTGCTCTTGTTGTACTCACCTCTCAGATATTGAAAGAGCAATAAGGTCTCCCCTTAGCCTCCTCTTCCCCCAGACTAAATAGTTCTGGTTCTGTATTAGATATTTACCATATTACATGGCATACTACATTATTTTTTTTTGTTTCAACATGTAATCTTTAGAACACAAAACAATTGGCCAAAGACCAAAAAGCAGCGACGCGACTGTAGTGGTTTTGTGCAGGTCAGCTAGTAATTTACAGATTAATTAGAGTTAGCTCTGAAGCCGATTGCAAAGGTTGCTGGTCCTCGTACGGAGTGAACTACCCTTAAAACAAAGTCTGGCAAAGCGAGCCCCGCGCCGCTGCCCGCCGCAGCTCCGAGGCTGGCGGACAATAGCGCCGCGCCGGACGCTAGAGGGCGCAACGACACTTTTTTTCCGGGGGAGAAGCGGGATCCTGCGGAGGGTGCCGAGCGCCCGGGCTGCGTTTTGTTTCGGGGAGGATGGGGAGTAGCTGGGTGCAGGTTACAGAGAGGGCAAGCAGTTTGCGCGATCTCTTGGAAAACTGTGCGGATTGGGTGGGTAGGGCTCAGCTCGCAGGAGAAACTTTAATGCGATTCGCCGCTCGTCCCGAAGTAACTTTATTTTATAGCCTCTATGTTATGAAACATGGAAGGCTTTCATAAATCACCATTAAGGCAAATGGGTTATAGCCTTCTTACGGATCCCATGCCAGCAAGGCTTGTCATGCCGCCTGGCATTTGACAGTCGCATGGCAGCTGACCACCTTCCTGCTGCCTTCTCACCCTCATTTAATAAAACGAGATTGGAGCTTTGGCTGTCCGTAAAGTGCTGCGAGGAGCCATATCCAGCAGCCAACCGAGAGGAGCTTTAAGCTGATGCTTTCTTGGCTCTCCCTCTTTTGCAGCTGCCCATTAAGAAGCCGCAGGGCAGCGGCCCAGGCCACGCAGCAGGGCTGGCAGGCACCGCTGGGGAGAGAGAACCTGGGAGGAGAACGGTGTAGGATTCTCTTTTAAGAATAAGAAAGCCAGGTGGGCAGAAAAAGAAATAAAGTGGACAAAAAAAAAAAAAGGAGGGGGGGAAAGGAGGGGACGGAGAAGATAAAACGGGAAGAAAAGTGAGGGTGAGAGGTGCTAGATGGAGCAGAGAAGCAACAAGGAAGCAGTGGAGGAAAGAGGCAGACAAAGGGCTGATGCAAGCTCTGCCCCAGGTGCGCAGCCCCGCAGCCAGGAACGCGGGGCTGGGGCGCTCAACAGGCTCCGGGCAGCGGCACATGGCAGGAGTCGCGCTGTCCTCCAGCCCGGTGCCGGGAAGGGGCTCGCTGGGGCCGCCGGGGCGGTTCGACCCTCGCCCGCCGCCCCGAGGGCCGGCAGCTCCGCCGCCTCCTTTGTGTGCGCGGGGGGAGCGGCGGCGGTGCCCCCGCCGGGCTGTCAGCGCTGCCCGCCAGGAGGCGGGGAAGGGAAGGGAGGAGGAGAAGGGAAGGCGCGGGCAGGGCGGCTCTCCCGTCCCCGCCGCAAGGTAAACCCAGCTTCCCCGGCGGAGTGAGGCGCCGGGAGCGCCGCGGCCCCTTCCGCGACCCGCCGAACGGCTTTGCCCAGCCCCTCGGCGCGGCGAGCAGCTCTGCGGTGCCGGAGCCCCGCTCCCCGTAGGCGCAGGAGGAAACCGAGCGCGGGCTGCGGCGGCGGCTGGGAGCTGCGCGGCTCCGGCACTTGGCCATGGGCTGGCAGCAGCCGGACGGCAGCGGGAGCCGATGCGGGGCTCGCAGCTAAAGGGGTGAGGAAGAGGGACCATGGCAGCATCCAGCAACTCCAGTTTGTCCGGCTCGTCGGTTTCCTCCGGTAAGTTTCTCCCGGAATTTCTCCCTTCCCTCCATTTTTAGCGGAGAGCTACCTGTCCGCGGCGCCTCGCCGTCCCGCCTGCCCGACGCGGTGCCCCTTAAGCCCTACCCCCGGGCTCGGTGCCCCTCTCGAGGGGGTCGGGCTCGCCTCCTCCCCGCACTGCCTTTGTGCGGGGCGGAAGAGCCTCTCGCAGAGCTCCTGCAGCGGGAGCAGCCTCCCCCGGGCGGGCACGGGGCGAGCCCCGCGGCTCCCGCCGGCACCGCGTTAGCGGCTGCTGCTCCCAGTGCCACCCGTGCTCTCCTGCGCCCAGGGCTGCGGAGCTGCGGGAAAAGAGAAAAGTTGCGTTCGTGAGCGAGGCAGCCCGAAACTGAAAGCGGTGATAAAATAGTACTGTTGTCTGCTGCTTCTCTCGTTGGGTTATTTTAATACTTCAGTGATAATAGACCAACGAAATTGGCAGTGTGGTATCCTGGCGCATACCGGGCTGAGGAAGTAAATAGAAGGATGAACAACTTTGGGGTTCAAAGGACTTGTGACTCAGTGTTTTATTGGAGGTGCCAGACTGAGAATTTGTAAGAGCTCTTTTTAAGAGCAGCAATATGTGCTGTGAAAAGCCGACGAGCTCCTTTGACTATCAATACAACCACAGGAAAAAAAACAAAAAACGTATATATGTAACAGGCAGTGAACGACTATTTCTTTTGATGATGGTATATGGCTTACACAACTTACTGCATGTGTCACTGTTCCAGGATGTGCCTCTTACTGCCAGATCCAAAGAAAGAACTGGCTGCTTAAAACTAGTATTTATTCCAACCCTTTTAATAGAAAACACAAACACTGCAAGCCCGGATTGCCTTAACTAGAAAGCAAGCACCTAAAAGAAGTAGCATGAGAAATTGTGTAGTGTTCATGTTCATGATGCAAGAGTCGCAGGACCGGAATGAAAACAAGAAAGAGTCAATCCAACGCAACAAGCTACCAGTTAAGAATCATGTTCCCATGCACTTCCTTGCTCCATGAATGTAGGTCTTCCCTACATTCCAGCCCATGAGAATAGTGCTCAGTGCACACTCCTGAATCATTAAGGTTGGACCACTAAGATCATCTGGTCCAACCGTTGACCCATCACCACCATGAATCTCTTTGGCTGTAGTCTCTGGGATCCATCTCCCATGCTGAACCCTTGCAATTCAAATGCCCAAACTGCAGAGAGCAGTGGGAATTCGGGCACATCCTTGGTTTTGCATTTGATATGGAAGACTCCAGGTGTCCTCTCCTTCAGTTAAGTGACTCCTGTTCCAAACTTAACATCCAACCTAGGAGCTGAGCTCTGGGCTTTAGGTGCACGCTTTTGAAAGTTAGGTTGGTGCTTGCCAGCACTGTGCTTTGTATTGAGCTCTCTGCTGCAGCCTTCAGCATTTTGTGGTCAAGCTTTTCTGTATTTTTTTGCAAGGTCTTGGTCCGCACTTGTGGCTGTTAGATGCTACAGTGATAAAACTAATAAATATTGTCAAGTGCTTCATAAAACAACAGAGTCCCTCTCACTTTCATACTTTACAACCTTGAAGTGCTTTTTGTTTTCTGCAGTGTGTTTTTTTTTCTATGCACATACTAATCAGAAGTTGAATTTGCTGCAGCATGCTGAAGTTTCCAATATTAGCAAATGCACCATATCTGAATGTGTGCAGCTGTATTTGTGCTGTCTGCGGTTTCAGTTCTCAGAACTCAGCAAGTCTTAGAGCATACTTTTTTACATAATCTAACCAAACAGTCTTGCTTTTAAATTTAATTTGCTAGAATTTATGTGTATGTTTAATTTAGCAGTATGAAGACTTCAAAATGACATAATTATTTCTACTCAGCAGGAAAGGGAAGATTATAGTATCATGCAGCATTTTACTAAGAGAAGTAAAGTTCATGGCTGATAGCAGAACAGCAAGCTATAGGAGTCCATTCTACCACTGACTTGTCAAGCTGCGTGTTGTGCTGCTGGATCATTTGTCCATCTCTAGAAGCAGTTGTCCATCTTGCTCAGAACTTCTGAAGCCAAATTTAAGCATTGTTCATGTAATACCTCCAGGTTTTGCAGTATTCTATGGACAGCTTAGAGTCACCATCCCTGGAAATGTTCAGGAGTAGATGTGGCACTGAGGGACATGCTTAGCAGGCAGGGTGGCGATGGGTTGCTGGTTGGACTCAATGATCTTAGTGGTCTGTTCCTTGATGATTTTGTGTTTCCATGAAGTATCCTATTTGTAAATGAATTTTTAGCTCCAGGAAAATGTGTTTTTTGCTGCTGCTGTTGTTTGTTTATTGAAGATGCATTCGTTTACAAGCATTCTGAGAAGAAACAGAACTGTTCTTGAGGGTATATAATTCAAATTTGAAACCACTGTCAGGGTCTACTCTGTTTTTGAGGTAACAGCAGATGTCCAGAGAGAAGTGTCTGTAACGCCCAAATATGTGGTTAGTTTTGAGCACTATGATGTTATACTTAAGGAGTTTTCCGTAATTTCTTTTGGGCATTGGTGGTGGTAGTAGCTGGGGGGAGTGCACAGATACGCGTTGAGTTGGTTGACAGCCAGATTCCAGTCATCTAAATGCAGTGTGGTGTTGAGTGTTTTCAGGTTCTCTCTGCTCAGATCAGAACTTTGGTTGGCCTGTATGATGTGTATGGAAAGGTGAGGGTTAGCCAGAATCTGACTTCTAAGGAGTAAAAGGATTTATTGACTGAGTGATAATGGGAGAAATCAGTGTTTGAATGGCAGATGGAAGAAGTCACCCCCTTTAAATAAGTGAATGAAAATTCCTGTCTATTACCTGCCTTCCTTAAAATACAGACAGTCCTCCTTCTTTAGTCATATATTCATTGTAGTGGTGAGCACAGCTGTATTGTAGGAACAAAGTAGTCGCACTAAGGCCGGGGAGGGGAAAAGAAGTCAGTTCATTAAAGATACTTCTGAAGCCTGAGGATTTGTTCCTGCAAGTGACCATTTGCCTTGTAGCAATTCTGTTTTGATTCTTGCCTGTTCATGTCAGTGAGGATGTTAAACAAGTCCAATACTAAACAATTCAAAAATATTTAATGTGAGAAAGCTGTCCAAGGATTTCAGGGTGTAGGTATTTTGCCAACCCTCTTACAGTCTGTAAGGGTGCAAGTGGGAATTATAGCCTTCACTTCAACTTGTGCCCGTGCATGACCAGAACTTAGTTCTGTCCTGGAGCAGTTTGCACAGTGGCACGGCGGGGTGACTCATTGTATCAGCACAGATAGGGAGCTGACACATATGGAGAGCTATGAGGTATAAACTAATGCTAGTGCAAGGGTTAGTTCTTAACAGTCTGTTGCTCCTTTGCTTTCACAGCTCAAAGACCTGTCCTTTCTTGAGTTGGGTGTCTCTAGTGCTGCTTCCAACAGCTACTGTGAGGATGCTAACCACAGGTTCGGCAGTGCCAGGTTCTTGTCATGGGCCCCATGTGACCTGAGTCTGACAGATTTTGTTTGCTAATGCATTTAAGGGCAGCAAAATCTACAGCAGTGAGCAGGGAGACATTTATGCTGCATTTCTACACATACTGCTTTTGGAGGCAGAACATTAGCTACTCTTTGAGTGTAAACAGTTGTGTTTCAATGTGGCTGAGAGATAAAAGGCTGTACTGTGCAGAGGGAGGAAGGTGGATCTGCTAAGCAGTTAAAATTTCTTCTTTGGATCTTGAGTAAATCTGCAGAGCAAATGAAGTGCTGAAATTATAATTACTCCCTCTGGGAATTCCATTTAACTTTCCCATAATCTCTTCTATAGTGAATACCCAGGCGATCTGTTAGCTTTATGCCTTGCAAGCTCCTAAATTTTGTTCTTCTTCCCAGATGAAGTGCTGATTCAGCCACAAGTGGCATCTTTTCTTGTTTTCTATTCTCTAGTTGACTGTATGTATTTCTGTGCTTTCCTTCACACTGCTTTTTCCTTAAGATAAACCTATTACCTTCTGCTTCCTGTCTTAGTATAGACACTTATTCATTCTGAACTTTTACATTTTTAATTTTTTTTTTTATTTTGGAAATTTTTCATCTTTTCTTGTCAAACCATTTACTTCTCCCACATCATCATCAGCTGACCCCAGCTTCCTCTACCCAGCAACCAAATACTGATTGTTTGTGACTGATGAACTTCAAGCTCCGCTTTCTGGAATTTAAATTCAGTCTTGGTTGAAGACAACTTTGCAACTGTGTCTGCTCTGCTTTTCTGAGGAGCAAAAAAAAACAAAACAAAAAAACCAGCGTGCTTCCCAACCAGGCTTCATGCAGCTGTGTTTGTGGGCATCAGAAGTCTTAGTCTCTGCACAGTTGTGCCACATAAAGCTAACACAAAGTGGCTCGTCCATGGAGGTTGGTAAAGGCCACTAAGATCATCTAGTGCAGCAGTCAACCCATGACTGCCATGCCTGCTAAGCCATGTCCCCAGATGCCACATCTACACACTTCTTGAATCCCAACTGCCTTAAAGACTTTGAGCCCTCCTGTAAAAGAGCTCTGCTTGAAAAGCTGTCTGCTTCCTGGTAATGGGCAGGAGGCTGAGATAATTTGGGTGTCTATCAGGTAGGGGGGGTGCTGGCATCCGCACTGAAGGTAAGAGTAAAGTGTGCTGAAGGGCAGAATGCCATCAGCCTTTCTCTGCTAGCAGGACTCAGATTGTGCCAAAACCTTTGCCTTTATAATGCAAATGTAAAAAGATGTGCTCACAGTTTCTCCAAGCTCCAAAGATAAATCTGTGGGCATTAGAGAAGCTGTGAAGGCTGAAGGGATCACTGTGCACTTTTCCATTCCCATCTGAGCCAAAGCTTCTTCACGTGCTGTGTGCACCTCTATCATTAGGCTAAATGGTGGAGCTGAAACACATCGAACACACACTGGCAAGTTTTCTGCTGCAGGCCTGAGATGGGTTTACATATCTCGTCTGGGGATTTTTATTTTTTGTCTGTGTCTTATGATTAGCTGC